ATTAATGAGAAAACAAGCCAAATATGACCTTGACATTTTCAAAGGTATAAGCTATCAGCGGTACAACCCTCATACACTGTATATAATGTAATAATTAGGCTTATATACATATATTCAAGCCTAATTATTACACTGCAAATTGCATGTTACTGTAGGATCGTTGTGCCAAACACTTTTATGGACTGCCGCAGGACATGGAGTAAGATAACACACCACAAGTTTTAAACGATTCTCACTGATTGATTGATGAGGCGAAAACCCCGGGACCTTACCAACCACATCATTTCCGTACAGTGTTTGTACAGATTCATTATAAGGTCACATCCTTAACTGCTCACAACCAGCAGATGAATCTTGCACCACAGGCGACCTGGAGGGGGACCAAGACTTTCCTTTCCAAGTGGTGATGTAGTCTGCAGCAGAGTCGAGACAAACTGTACTTTACAGCTTCCTCGGGGGAAGCTTTTCTCGAGCTCAGCATCCCTGCCGCTGCAGTACAGAACATTCGTCTCCAAACATCCTGACTATCATTTCTATATTATACAAAGTTCATACATTCTAGCAATGACACCAATTTTGAAAAACAATAAAAGCTGTACCACCAATAAAACCAGTAAAAAAAGGACAACAGTGCGTTAATTCAACGGTAACGAGTAACAAGTGCACACGCCAGTTAAACCTTGTAAAGCTCCACCTGAACAGCATTTAAAAAACAAACAACATAAAACAGGCAAACGCGCTAGAGTTTGTTTCAGCCGAACCAGACATGTGAAAGCAGCTTAAGTTATGGAGGTGTCAGGGAGTTGTCTTTCTTGGCGAGGCGTGTAACGTCATACAGATGTCCTCCAGACTGCAGTAACTCAGAGGAACAGAGCACAGCTGTGGCTTGACAGAGACCCATGTGAATTTGGAGATATGTGGTAGAATTTGAATTCAGACTGAATCCAGTGAGCAGGGGAGTGAAATGTGACCTTGAATTTCATGTCCCGTGGCATGGTGAATGCACCGAGCAGCGGTGTGAGCTCGGGGTGACTGTGGAGCGTGAAGGCACCTACGAAATGATTGTAATAACCCTCCCCCCCCCACACACAAAAAATAAAAAATAAATAATTTCTAAATCTGCTGTCTGTCGTCTTGAGACTGTCGACAGCGCTAACGGCAGCTGACAGGAAGTCTTAGAGACGCCTTCAGGCTGAAAGTTAATTATCTCGTTGTCGTCCTGACGGTTTCTGTTTCAAACCTTTCAGACGACACAAAGACGCGCTTTTCAGTTGTGATGATCTCGGGTTCGCCGCGTCGATCAGTCATCAGGATTGTTGTGAGTGTCGATAAGACGCTCGGACAAACGACAGTGGTCTTTTGGCCACTGGATCGTTGATAGAGAGAAACCGATCCATCCGTGAAAACCCCGGTGAAATCATCGCTGTGTTCTCTCCATTATGTGCATGTCATCTCCTCTCAGCCGCATTCACTCGTTTTTTAACTTCATTTTCTTTTTGAAGGGCGGCACTTTATAGCTCTGGCTCTTGTCCGCCGTAATCACCGTGTCTCCATTAAGGCGGCCTGAAATTTGATTGGCATCTCGTTCTCAAAGGTCAGAGCAACCCTGCAGTACTCGCGGATTTGTAGATTCAGCTAAAGCCTTTATCTCTCAAGGAAAGTCTGCTGTAATGAGTTTGACCTTGCCAACCTAGAATTATGATACCCTGCTGTAATTCATGTTTGAAGTTGAACAGAAAATGTATATTACATATTTTTTTTTCATCCCTTTTGAAATGAGAGATCATTCGAAACAGGCTTCCAGGATTCAACTATGTCTATGAATGTAATTGAAAGCAGGAACCTCTAAGGATATTAAAGGTACAAAGATATTACATGGATGGATTCGCCATGAGCTTTAGAAATTAAATTCTGTTCATTGTTCCTTCGTTGTTTCTTTCTCGTGAGGATGCCGCGGTTTAAAAACTGCAGCCGCTACCAAACTGTTTCAATCCAGAATCTCTTCAGTACCTGTAAAACCAACAAACGCACTTTGCGTCAGTTCCTAACGTGCAAGTGTTAGCATGCTAACTTGCTAAACTAACTGCCAGAAGTTTGTGAGACGTGTTGAAAATTTTTATACTTTTATACTGGTCCCTCTGGGAAGACATTGCATTGTTTAAAATATCTTTTTATTGAAATGGCTCTGGACCACATCCATGGCAAAAACTGGAGTATGAAAATGGATGGCTGGTTAGCAACAGGAAGAATTTTAAGGAACAACAACAAGTTGAGCTTCCACTGCTTTCAGTTCAGTCCGTAATGTTCGATCATTATCATTAAAATGAAAAGTGCTCTGAGAACGATTTATTCGGCCTCCAGCATGTTTGAGATTTATAAGTGGGCCATGAGTTGGAAAAGGTTGCGAACCAGCGCAGCAGTATGTTTTATAAGAAGGAAATCATTATCTTTAGAGCATAATTTCTTCTGTTTGTTCATCATTGGTGGATAAACTCCCAGGAACTTCACCAATACGCAACGCAATACACAAACCAATCAGTTTGCTTTATTTCCATTATGATAAGTTATCCACATAAAACAGGTTTTAATGACCTCCTCTAAATTAAGTTCAAAACTGAGAGCAAGACATGAATTGAAAAGCAGAATTACCCTCTCCAGTAATCATTTTAATGGAACACAGAAACAATAACGATCACACACCAGAAATTATAACTTGAAATACAAAGCATATTTTTATGGGCTCTTATGAAATTTTCCGCACTGAGCTCTCGCAGGCAAAACAACACAAAGAGGGAAAAACAAGCTCATCACTCATCACAGGCTTTGGGAATGATTTCTGAGAGAGAGAGAGAGAGAAACACAGCTCTCGTTCTGTTCCCAGAGGAGAGAGAGATACCAAGTCTAATGATTGTTGGCATCACAAACTAAAGGTGCATTTGAGTTCCCTTTTATTATTCCTCGTTGTTGAATAATGAAGACCTATTGTTATTTCTCGGCCACCCACTGTAATGATAGCAATAATTCATATTATGCTGATTAGCGCAGTGACGGCGGGGGGGGGGGGGGTAATGCTTTCCAAATGGCACGTTTTTTATTCTTCAGAGTCAGAAAATATTATGTTAATGAGGAACAGAGGCATGTTTCCACAGTGAGGTAACGTATGAGAAAACGAGCTTCTGTAGTGCCAAGGCCACCTCAGTGTGTTTTTAATGCACTAATAACTATTTCTGTATCTGTATAGAAAGGCAATTTGCAAAGTGATTGCTCATCAGCTGCTTCCTTGGAGCGCCGGCGCCTGGGCTCACAAAGCGCGCACACAACACACCTGTGTTTGTGTGTGTGTGTGTGTGTGTGTGTGTTTTTGTTTTTTGTTTTTTCATCAGTGTATGCACACCGTCGTCCTTCTCCAAGAGCCATCGTGGTGTGTGTGTGTGTGTGTGTGTGTGTGTGTGAGCGGCTTGGTAATGGAGGCCTGTAATTACTCCAGAGCCGAGCTGACAGCTCAGTATATCTCGGCTCCGATCAGGTAACTGACTTCATGCCATGGCCAAGACATGCCACTCAAGGCCGAGGGCAGGAAGTTCTTCCCAATTACCCAGCTCGCACTGCTCTCTGCCTGTTAGCGGTGACAGGGCTCCATCCTGACTTTGACACGGCTCTCGCTCGCTCTCTCTCTCTCTCTCTCTTAACCTCGATGGCAGTGTGATAGACGCTCCATCACAGTCTGTGCTTGTGTTTCTCTGTGTTTTCAGGCTCGTGTCTCTCAGAATGGGAACGTCGTCCTGTTTGTTCCAATGATCACAACAACTCCAGGAGAGCTGAAATGATTGGTTAATCTTGTGCCCAGCTTTTCCACTCGCAGCTGTTCTCTATTTTGTGTCATTGCACATGAAATACCTTCTGTTGTTGGTCGTTGGTCGGACAAAACAACATATAATGTTCACGTTACAGTAGTGGATGGACATGTGCGTTAAGTCACATTTTCTTTACAGCCTAACATCCTGCTGTATGTCGCACTGGTTTTACTGCTCGCCATTCGATGTCAGTGTCTGCAGAGTATAAACTGTTTGCACCGTATAGTGGGAATCAGAACGTCCGTGCCACATGATCTACTTTCTGCTAATTTCATAGCTGCTAGAATTAAAGTCGTGCAGCCATTAGAGTGTGACTTTGAGTTTAAACATACACTGAGGCGTAATAATCATGTTGATTGTGCCGAGTCCTTTGATTGAAATATTTTCTTTTTGGAATATTTTAATTAGACGTGTATTATCTGAGTTTGTTGCCGTCCTCAAGGTAAAAATGAAAACCTGAGCCTGTTTGGAAATTCACTGTGTGTGTGTGTGTGTGTGTGTGTGTGTGTGTGTGTGTGTGTGTGTGTGTGTGTGTGTCTGCCATGGAAGCTTATTAATCAAGAGAAAAAACTCAATTTGATACGAGAGAATTTCATTTGACCTTTTCTGGGCGTAAGTGGGTCTTGAATGATAAGTTCTCATGAAAGAGCATACATCAATAGATCCCTCCACCTTCTCCGCCTGTTTGTTGCCGTGGTTCGGAGATAGCTGCGGTGGCTGCGGCATACTGATGAGTCGCCGGCTGATTACGCCTAAAACTTCCCTCATGGTCCGTGTCAAGATACATTTGGGTCGAGTTGAGCCGTCATGCAGTTTGTATTAAGGAGAGTGTGTGTGCATGTGTGTGTGTGTGTGCTCTTTGAAGACGTACAATACAGACTCATTGCTTTATTTTTATTTTCTGATAGAATGGGCTCAACTGAAGTAAAGTAGAATTCATTTATTCATGTTAACGAGATGCTTTTTCACAACGAGCCTCAGTGAAATAAGTAAAGCGTCTTAAAGCCACATACACACACACACACACCTCCTGCATCTTCCCCTCATCTCATCTCTTCCTTTCCCGTTTCCAATATCCTTTCTTTCTTCAAGTCTCATATCACTTTTTCTGACATGGCTCTGTGTCTTTCTTTTTTTTTTTCCCAGAGAGATGGTATGAAGAGACGGAGCCCATATTGCGTTGGACGAGAGCCAGCTGTGTCAGGTACGGTATGCTACACTGACCTCGGCTTCCTGTCTATTTGTCAAATCGCTGCTCAGTCAGGGATGCAGCCTATTTCTGGTTTTAAAAGGCCTTTCATAATAGGTAGACACAGTGGTCCTGTATTTCTCTGCACTCAGAGGAGGCCGAGAACTGAAACTGAAACCCTGAGTAAAAGTTATTGTTGCCTCTGAGGTTCACCGCTTCAATCTTGCTGTTTAATGAAGCGGAGGTTTTATCAGCCTTGCATGCATTTAATTCTCCCGCGTTCCCTTTGTCATCAAAGGGAATTACCAAATGAATTATTGAAGAGAAAATATGGCATAACGTGCATCCCAGTTCCTCGTGTCACTTCCTCTCTCAGGTCTGTCTCCTCACGGGGTCGAGCAACATGCACCTGCAGTATTCTGTGTTTTTACCTGTGTAATAACAAAGTTTTTTTATGATATTTTTTGCAAGTTTATGAAAAATCAAAAAGCGAAATCTCTCATTTACAGAAGAATCCAGAGCCTTTGCTGCATCACTCCACAGATTGTGATCGTTCGCTTTAACTATCTCTGAGATTCGTCTCAAACCTGATTGGATGATTGATTGACTGTATAGACAGTCAGCCGGCTTCTCCTGTGCCACTCCAGATGCACCAGATGTTTTCCGTGATGCACAGTTTTGTTTGCTCTCTGAAAAGAGAAGGAAGAAGGAGAAGATTAGCGGCGTGTACCGCTGGGGATGTAAATCATTTCCACACAGAGACGGTGTTTTCCGTCTTTGATGGCTTCGTACAGACTCGCAGCAGTCAGAGTCGGCAGTGGGGAAGTAAATGATCAACCTTGACATGACCTGTTGTTTGTAAGGAGAAAGACACTGGAACAGGATCCTACTGCACCAAGTGTAAATACTGCACGCTGTGTTTCCCTCTGTAGTGGGAAGTGCAGCTGCTCAGTGGGCAAGATGCTAAATTAATGGATGTTTTAAACTAAGCTAAGATTTCTAACATTTTCATTTCACCATCAGCTGCAGGTCTTAACCATTAAACTGTATCTAACACACTGATTAGACTGAATTACGTTCAAATGGTTACGACAAATTGCTCGGTAAACTTCATTAGTATTTTTAGCAAATGGTGCAGAGGGAGACTGATGGTGCGGTCTGCTGTTGTGGTAGTTATCAGAGTGTCAGGCTCGTTCTGTCGGCACAGTCGAGCCAGGGATGATGGGACGAGGTCCGGAGGAAACATGGAGGCAGACACGAGTTTAGAGTTGGTGGTGTGACCTTTGGTTGGTGACATTTATTTTTCTGCACGGGGCTTTGTTTTTGTTTCCCGTGTTGCCTTCGCTGAAGATGTTGTTGTTGTTTTCTAGGTATATTCAGTTCAGTTCAATTCAATAAACTTTATTCGTAGACATTAAAAAACACACAACAAGACAAACTGTACACAGTAAGAAAAAACAAACAATGACACAAAGAAACAATCAATAATTGTGATATTATAATGAGAAAGACAGTAGCAGTAACAAACTTGGAAGAATGACATCACAGTATAGGTGCATATGACGTATATGAACATGGAATTTCAAGGTCAAAGGTCAAACTGAAACGTCTCTTGGCCATAACACAAAAATTCAAATGCTAATTATGACACAGTTTAATTGTCGGATGTCTGTAAGGATAAAACGACGTGATGGTATTTTATGTACCGCAAAAGGTCAAAGGTCAGCTTCACTGTGACATCACAATGTTCAAGTGCTGTGACTGAGGAACAGAGGGAGAGACTGTGTGGTTTCGTTGGTTCAGAGGCTGAAGCAGATTTGAGGTTGTGTAACTCCCGTGCTGTGAGTGAGACCAAACCCCTCCTGTAGTTCCCTCTTTCTCTCGTGGTCACAGGGTGTTAACGTCGCATATGAATGACACAAAAAAAAAAAAAAAACACAGGCTCATGACCTAATTATTAGAGAGGAGGAGAAAGCAGGAGTCCATTTGGCTTCTAGCAGCCGAGACCAGAGATGTATATATTCCAGTCTAATGGGATCAGGTAGAGTCATGGGTCTGTGTATTAATATTTCTAATACACGAGTGGGGTCGACTTTGGGTCGACTAAATGTTGGAATGGATTTAAATAGATCTGTCTCTGGGTCAGTGGTTTTTTTTCCTTCTTATTAACGATTCATCAGGTTTATGTCAGTTTAATCTGAACATGATCAGTGGTTCACAGTACACTATATTTTTATATATACTGTGTCTGTTTACAGACATGTTTATAATTTATAATATGAAGGAAATCACATGGGACTGCAGCACAGCAGTGGAATATTAAAGAGGCTAACAAGACCAAAATACTCTGCCTTAAGGCGCCAGTAGGGGTCAAGCTCCAGAGATCCTGCATTTCCCATAATGCAACTCAATAGCATCCGCCTGGTAAATGCCTGCATCTTTCGAACTCCTTGTCCCCAGTTTGTGACGCAGGCTGATGACATCACTACACTTAGGTCAATACAGCAGTTCTCACAGGCGCAGTAATACTCGTGTGTAAAACTGGTAGAACTTCAGTATTAAAGCTGCAGTGTGTGATTTTATTTTTATTCTGTCTTGTGCCACAGTGACCGCGAGTTCTCCTCGAAAAGCGAGAGGAAATTCAGCAGCTTGCGGTTTGCTCTTGGTCATTTGAAAGGTCTGCATCATGCATCTTTAAATGAGACATCAAGAACAGCTTCCCGCTTCTCTGTCCTCCCTCTGTGTGTGTGTCTCTCGCTGCCCTGCCGGTGTCTGCTGCAGCCCGCAGAGACACAAACAGTTAGCATACATATGTCCCATGCTCCATGCAAGCTAAAGTTCACATCCCCTGCATATGCGCACTTCCTTAGCGCCACAGGCGAGGACACTGTGGAAAGGTCACCTTTCACACTGAGTAAATGAAGGAAATTGCTGGCTTTTCGCCTCCCCTCGCCGTACTGTTTTTAGCCACTGCTGAGCATTAGTGGCTGCTGCTTACTCCCACTCACCTAATCACCACTCAGCATGCCAAATTAATACATGAATCATATTACTAATCTGCATATAATTTGCATTTTCTAGCCTTGAAGAGTATTTTAACATGATGTCATTTTTAATTGCAGCAGCTCTGCAGCCAGACACATTGTGTTTCCAGCTGTATTATGATATCCAAAGCTCTAATCACGCTGAAATTCCAGTTTCTAAACCCATCAATGAGGAAAGCTTCAAGATGAAATTATTCTCAGTGGTGGTAGCCTAATTGAAATACAACCGATTTTCAGTGGGGATGTGGATGATGGTAAATTGGGCAGCGGTTTGTTTTTCGAAAGCTGCATCTAATCACATACTACTGGTATGGCTTTAATTTCCATCGCCACACAAGTTGCATTGAGTAACATGAGTGTAAAATCTGAGCGCGCACTTCATGGTGAAATATTCAGTGGAAAGGACGGGATGTGTTGATGGGCCTTGGGGCGGAACTGTCTCTATCTCAGAGGCTTCTTTGAACTCCTTCCCAGATCAGGGCTCCAGAGGTTACAGCAAATTCTGTATGAAGATATATATATTTATTTATATATATATATATGTGTGTGTGTGTGTGTGTGTACACAAAACAGTTAAAAGGGAGTCCATTTTGCAGCACTTTATCCAACACTTTCATTTAGAGAATTCACTTAAAATATTCAATCAACCCATGAGATAATTTTATAAGTCATAGGATTTGATTTCTTTCTTTTTCTTATCTGGTTAGTGAAATAGAAACTACACAGAGACACTGTGATGAATTATATCCAACACGCTTTAGTAGTGTTAGTGAAGTAGGTCTGTGACGCAGATCCAGATAGAAGGGTGTAATGTACTAACATGATTTAACTTCCTTTATGAGGCTTCTTCTCACAGGGTGAAGAAATGAGTGTCTTTGTCTTGCTGCTCAGCTTATTAACTCTTAACTCATTGTGATTCGCTGAATTTCGGGTCAGGAATGTGAAATCCATTATGGGAAATGTACTTTAGTTTGTTTTAGCCTCAAAAAAGGAGTTAAACTGAACTGAGAATGTTTTTCCAGCTCTATCCAGTTTCAAAGGCACTTGATTTAGCTGCGAAATGGTTTTTATTTCATGTTTCTATCGGCTTCAGAGGCTGAGGAGTAATAAAGGTTTTAGTGAACATAAAGTTTGTCAGAAAAGCCTCAGGTTTCAGGAGGTTGTTTTCAAACAGTGCTGAGTTTTAGGATGTTTCTTAATGGGATAATTATTGTGTCAAGAAGGGTCCCATGCAGGAAGATTTTAGATTATAGACTAATCTTAGCATCAGAATTTATTTTTGTTTATATCTGCACTAAACTCAAAATACTGGCTTTGATTTCATCATAATGCTGCATAACAGATTAGTATGAATTTCAGTAATAGATGGATCCATTTCTCACCCAGCTCGAGTGTTAGTCTACCACCGCGGTGACGGGCTAATTGAACAGTACACGCTAGAGACCCAGCTGCAGGCGCTATTTGCATAGCTTCATCATAATTTATCAAAGACACCTCAGCAGGCGCTTCGTCATGTTTCAGGAGCGATTTCTTCCATCTTTTTTCCCCATGAATACATTAACACCGCCGGCTCGTACGTCTTTCCCCCGTCTGCCCTAGCGCCGAGCGGCTGTCGCCCCAAATGAAGTGCAAACGCGAGGGTCGCAGTTTGTCACGCGTGGTTTCCCCGGCGCTGTGTTCAGCGTGAACCACGGCCAACCACGGTGAGATATCGGCCTGAGCCCGGCAAACGGCAGTGAGTTATTTGACAGGGCGGTGAGATATCAGGGAGCACAATGCTTAATACAGTCATGAGGAAGCCTCGGAGATGAACGTCTCTCTGTCTTCACACAGTTGTTGTAACTCATTAGTGGATTTCTTTCGTCAATCAATCACGGTTGAATTATTGTGGGTCATTAGGGACGTAAACCCTGAATGCTGGCCTCCGGGGGAAATCCATTTTGGTGCAGTGGGAGGTGAATGGCTGATGAA